CTCCAAGGAGACCGCAGAAAAGCAGTCTCAGAACCCTCAGGCGTCTCACCCCCAGACTCAGCACCCCCATGCTCCGCACACGCAGGCTCAGCACCCCCAGACGCAGCACCTCCAGACGCAGCACCCCCAGACGCAGCACCTCCAGACGCAGCACCCCCAGACGCAGCACCTCCAGGCTCTCCACGCTCAGCGCCCCCAGACTCAGCACCCCCAAGCTCCGCACCCCCAGGGACAGCACCACTCCCAGCAGGACCGGAGTCACCAGTGACCTCAACAGGCGCAGGCGCGGGGGGGTCTACCTGAGAGACACCTGAAGGAGCAGGACCTGGCGTGGGGAGGGGGTCTACCTGGGGAGGACCTGGGGCGAGAAAGAGCGGCCGGGGGGGGGCGAGGAGCAGTGCGGTAGGGGAAGAGGCGGTAAAAGGGGACCGACTCGTCAAAGGTGACGTCCTGAGACGCAAAGACACGGCGCGAGGCGGGGTCGTAAAACTGCCAGCCAGGCGCGTCAGGGACAAAGCCAAGGAAGACGCAAGGAATGGCGCGAGGGGAGAGCTTGTCCGCGGTGGTACCGCGGACAAAGGCACGAGCACCCCAGACCCGGAAACGCGACGCGTCGCCAACCTTCCCCGTCCACAGCAGTGTGGGCGAGGTCTCCGGCAAGGAGACACGGGGCCAAAGGTTGAGCTGATGCGCGGCGTACCGGACCGCAAACGGCCACAGAAAATGGGGGGCAGCCGCATGGATCATGGAGGTACGGGCGACCTCCATGACTAAGCCAATGCGGCGCTCAGCAACCCCATTCTGCTGCGGAGAGGCCGGAAGCGTGAATGTCTGGCGGATGCCGTGCTCCGCACAGAAGGCTGCCAAGAGGTCTGAGGAGAACTCACCACCTCGGTCAGAGTGCAGACGCAGGACAGGAAAGTCTGACTGGAACCGCTCGCGGAGCTGGAGACGAGCAGCGCGGATCCAGGGGATCGAAACAGCAGGGACATCCCCCTTGCTCTGCAAGGGTAAGACCGTGGTGTAACGCGTGTAGTCGTCGACAACCAGCAGGAAGTACCGCTCGTGGCCCTGTCCACGGACGCGGGCTGGGCCCCACACGTCCAGGTGGAGAGTCTGCAGTGGAGCCTCTGTGGGAGGGAACGAGGAGGAGTGAGGAGCGGCGCGCTTCCGCCCCTCGACGCAAGGAATGCAGGGCGGCGAAGGCGAGGGAGGGAGGGCAGGCAGAGACCTGGGAAGACCAGAGACCAGGAAGCGAGAGTGCATGCTACGAAGGCGAGGCAGGGAGGGGTGACCAAGGCGGTGGTGCCACAGGAGAGTGTCGTGCGACAGCCGGCGACACTCACACTGGGTAGCTACCTGAGCAGGCGCGTGTAACTGGGGAGACAAAGGGGCGGAGCGCAACGCAGTGGTGAGGGTGTACAGACTGGACCCTGGCGCACGAGTGAACGTGGCCAGGTGGCGGCCAGTCTGGGAGCACGTGCAAAACGCCACACGCTGCCGGCCAGGGGTGAAGGTGCCAACCCCCGCATCCTGGAGGACAGCGTTACTCACCAAGTTCGTAGAGAACGAGGGGAGGTGGAGACCAGACAGCTCACCAGACGGGACCGCCGGACACGGAAGCACAGTGGAAGACCGTGCAAGCACTGGGCCCCCAGAGGGGTCAGCCAGTGAGACAGGAACAGGTGCAAGGAGGGGACTGACTGTGGTACTGTTGCAAAAGAAACAGCGGGAAGCACCAGAGTCAAGTGTGAAGGTGTGCAAGGCCTGTGCAGGCGCAGTACCAAGGAGAGCAGACTCACAAGCACCTAGTGCTGCAGGGGCTATACCAGGGGCTATACCAGGATCCGGCGGCACACACAAGTAGCAGTCACCCTCAGCACTAACAGACAATACATACATAGCAGCAAGAATTGCCTCATAGTCAAGATCAAAGATAGGTACATCACGCCTAAGCAAGTCTGCCCAGTTGGGGAACTCAGGAGCATCAGGAAACTTGGCGCGCCAGGCGTCGCTAAGCCGAGCGAAGCAGCGCTGCTCAGTGTGAAAACCTGTGCACTGGCAACCAGCGCGGGGACCTGTGCGGATGATATAGGGGCAGCGACCAGGACCCCCTGAAGCCCCACGCCCGGCATACCAGTCAAGAAGTTGCTGGGAAGTGGGGGTCTGGCGCTGACGCTGATGCTGCTGCTGCTGCTGCGGCTGCTGCTGGCCCTGACCACCACTGCCACCACCGCTCCCTCGTCCCCCACCGCCGCTGCTGCCCGCTCCACCGCTCCCAGTGCCTCCGCCGCCCCAACCACCACCTCCACCGCCTCCACCCCCACGACCACCCCCACCACCTCCACCTCCCCCGCCGCCTGCACCACCGCCACCTCCACCGCCACCCCCACCGCCCCTGCCACCCCTGCCGCCCCTGCCGCTGCGACGCTTCCCACTAGGAGCGGAAGCAGCTCCGACCTCCTCAGCACCAAGGTAGTCGTGAGAAGCAGCTGCGGAGGCGTAGGAGGGGGTGAGAGGGGAGGGGGAGCACCCCTCAAAGAGGGGAGAGCGAGGAGTGCCACGAGCAGCACCTACAGCGAGGATGTTCTTCTCTGCTGCGAGGAGGTGCTTCTCGAAGTCGTCGACAGTGAGAGTGGTGGGGTCTAGCGCTAGGAAGTGGTCCCTGACAGAGCTAAGAGTGTCAGGGAGGCGGGTGACGAGGAAATAGAGAGTGAAGTACATCAGGGGGGGGGGGGTTTGCGGCGCAAAACTCGACTGAAAGGGCGGCACGAAAGCGAGTGTCAGTAGCGCGCAGGTGGGAAATGAGGTCCTCAGCAGTGGTGAACGAGGAAAGGTCGGGGAACATGTAGGGTAGCATGAGCCGACCTATGGCTGCTGTGGCCGGGGAGGAGTAGCGCGCAACTACAGCGTCGTACAGTGTCTTAGCTGTTTTGTGCTGGCTGAAATGCGCGCGCTCAGCAATCGGCAGATGGTTCCTAATAGCTAGGCGTGCAGCAGCATCGCGAGACTGCCACTGCGAGCGTTCAAGAGCAGGAGCATCGGCAGCAGGAGCAACGGCAGTGCCAGACACGTAATCGAACAGTGAAACGCCCTCTTTGGCATCGGTCAGAAGGAACAGTTGGAGGTCGTCTAACCACACAGCGAACTCTATGGGGCGACCGTCAGGCTCGAACGCGAGAACGTTAGGCGTCGTCATAACGGCAGCAGGCAAAGGCAGTAGGCAGCAGGCAGCAGACAGGAGGCAGTAGGCAGCAGGTCGCAGGCAAAGACAGAGACAGCAGGCAGTAGACCGGAGGTAGCAGGCAGTAGACCGCAGGCTAAGACAGAGGCAGTAGGCAGCAGGCAACACAGGCAACTTGCAGGGCAGCAGCTTGCCGCACTCAAGCTCCTAAGTCGGCGTGCTAGACAGCAGCAGGTCGCGCAGGCAGGCACACGAGCAGGGCACGCTCGGCTGCTGGCTAAGTGCCTCTGAGCAGCAGGCAGCAGCGGGCTAAGGCAGCGGGCTAGGCAGCAGCGGGCTAAGGCAGCAGCGGGCCGCGCAGGCAGGCACACGTGCAGGGCACGCTCGGCTGCTGGCTGCGTGCTACTGAGGGCTGCGCGCGGCAACTGGCTAAGGCAGCGGGCCGCGCAGGCAGCACACGAGCAGGGCACGCTCGGCTGCTGGCTGCGTGCGGCTGAGGGCTGCGCGCGGCTGCTGTCTAAGGCAGCGGGCTAGGCAGCAGCGGGCTAGGCAGCAGCGGGCTAGGCAGCAGCGGGCTGCGCGCGGCTCCTGGCTGCGCGTGGCGACGGGCTGCGCTCGGCTGCGGGCTGCGTGCGGCGGCGGGCTGCGCGGGCGTGGCCTAAGCAGGCTGCGCGCGGGCGGCGTAAGTGGCGCGCGGGCGGGGCCTACACGGGCTGCGCGGGCGGGGCCTAAACGGGCCGCGCGGGCTGCTTAAAAGGCTCGCGCGGAAAAAAAAAAAAAAAAGAGGCCGCGCGCGTGCAGTCGAGGCGCGCGCGGGCAGTAGGTAACACGGTAACCGGTGGGCCCTAATCCTAGGTCCTAAGGACCTATGCTCTAGATGCCATGTCGAAATCCTTAGGCAAGGGTGGTGTGGACTATCGAGAGATGGGTACAAAAGAAAACCAAAGGGGTTGTACCCCACAGTGAGTACCCCACTAAAGCCTACCTAAATTATAACATATAAACATATGTTTGACATTTTTCTCTGATACCATATTAGAATCCCAATCACTAGACCACTGGGATAAAAGGGCTTGTTAAGTAGCGGGTCAGTGCGCCCATAACCCCCCAGGACAACGAGCCTGTAACCCTTCCCTAAGATCAATCGGGGATCACCAGTGGACCTCTGACAAGAATCATCGAATAAGGGGTGATGAACATTGGACAAACATTTCCCCTAAACAAACCTTACGGTATGTAGGTAAGGAAGGTGTGAAACATTGTGCCTACCATCTAAGTTGTATTCCTGCTTGCACACATAAACTACAGTAGGAATTTTGAAGTGGCCTTTCCTTGTCCTGCGTCCAGGTCCAGGCCTAGGGTTGCTACGCAGAACAGGAACAAAGTGGAGGTCGCACTACATGGCTTTTGAAGACGGAAGGGAAATTTCATGAAGGCGTGACCCCTTGTTTCCTTAACACCTGGATGCAATAACCCTAACTTATGCTTATACCAGTAAGCCCCTGAACCATCATATCGCTATTGACAGCTGCAATATGCATCATACGGTATCCTTCAGGCACAGTCAAGACAAGATTAGAGTTGTTGTAAAGCCACCCTATCAGAATCAGCATACCACCAGCAGCACCTAGCACGACCAGTCGCATCACCAACACCGCCAGCACCAATACCAGCAGAACAGATAGGAGCCTTTACCGGACGAGCCTAAATCTTTACATCAGAACAGCGCTCCCCTCTGCCTGTAGATGTTCACTCCCTCACTTTCAAGTCTGTGATGCCATTAACCAGCACCAGTCAGTACCTCAAAGTGGGACATTTAACCGGCACCGTCAGTTGCCACACCACCAGCAACACCACCAGCAAAACCACCAAAGCCACCAGCACCACCAGCGGCACCACCACCACCACCAATACCAGCAGCAGCAGCATTACGAATAGCAGCTCTCTCCCTGACGAGCCTCATCCTCTCTTCGAACAGCGCTGCCCTCTGCCTGTCGATGCTCACTCTCTCCCGTGCCATCAGCTGCTCCAGCCTCTCAAACTGAAGCATCTTCTTCTCCAGCTTCAGACACTGCGATGGTGGGAGTGGGAGCAAAAATGAGGGCCAACTCGCCTGTTTCGCAAACTCAGCCATGAATCGCCGCAAATTCCTCTCCTCCTTCTCACCTGACTTAGTTTTCCATGCATCAACTCCCACCATGAACCTACCCTTCCCTTCCAGAGAAAAGACCTGCCCAGCCCATAACGCCAGCTCACCTGTTTGGCAACCAACTCAGCCATGACTCGTCGCATCTCCCGCTCCTCCTCAGCCATCAGCCTCGCCTTCACTGCCCCAGCACCCATGGCCGTGGCTGCACTCTTGCTGCACCTACCAACAACATTCCGAACTGAAGCAGCAACCCCTTCACATCACCCAGCTCACCTGTTTCGCCACCAGCTCAGCCATGACTCCTCGCATCTCGCGCTCCTCCTCCTCCGCCATGAGTCTTGCCTTCACAGCTGCAGCAGCCATGGCCGTGGCTGCAGCCGCTCGGATCCGCAGGGCTGACGGCACGTCACTCAGAGAGGGAACGCGGCGTTGAGGGGCCTTAGAGTCCCCTTCCCCTGCTGCTGCTGCGGCTGCTCCCCCTGCTGCTGCTGCTCCTCCCGCTGCTGTTGCTCCTGTGTGTGCTGGCGCTGGCACTGCTCCTCCTGCTTCCTTTGACATAGCCTTTTCTGCATCCTGTTCGGCCTTCACACCCGCGCCTTCACTCCTCTTCTCCTCTCGTTCAACATCGCCTCCTCCCTTCACATCCTCGTCACCCTTGCTCACTTCCTTACCACAATCAACGTCCATGCCAGTTGCACCACCATCCCCACCATCCCCACCATCTCTACCATCCCTATCATCCGTACCATCCTGACCACCATCACTTTCTTTCTTACTCACTTCCCCAGCCCCCACCTCTTTCTGTCCTTCTTTCTCCTCTCCTCCTCTCTCCACTTGTGCCTGTCCCTTATCCTCAGTAGCTTCGGCATCCCCTTTCACACTCTCCTCCCCTTTAACAGCACCCCCTTTAACATCATCCCCTTTAACGTGACCCTTTTCAGCAGGATCCCCTTTCGCGCCATCCCCTTCACGGCCAATTGCAATTTTATCCCCATCACCACCTTCGGAAGCAGCAGTAACAGCAGCAGCACCAGCACCAGCTACATCACCAGAAGCAGCACCATCAGCACCAGAAGCACCAGCTGCACTGTCACCTGCCCCCAATCCTTCTTTCCCAGTCTCGGCTCTTGCTGACCCTGCGTCTCCTCCTGCTGCTCCCTCTGCAACCACCACTGCATTTTCTCCTCCCACCCCTTTCTTTTCCACTGCAATCCCCTCTTTCTCTCCCTTCGCTGCTACTCCTCCCGCTCCTCCTCCTTCTCCTGCTGCTTGAGTCAGTGCCCCCGCCCCTGCCCTCACCTCATGCTCTGCTGCTGCTGCTGCTGCTGCTGCGTCTGTTGCCTTTTGCTCTGCAGCCCCTGCCCTTGCCTCTTCCTCTGCTGCCACTGCCCTCGCCTCTTCCTCAGCAGCAGTCTGATGCAACTCAGCCAGGGCAGACGGGTCTTCAAACACAAGCGCGGCCAAAGCGGCCTGAGCAGCAGCAGCAGCCACACGAGGCCCAGCCACACCAGATATAAACGCCACCTGAGCCATGATAGGGTTACCACTGTCGCCAAACGGAATGGGCTCGTCCAGACCCATTACTGTTACCTTCGGAGGCTGCTCTGAATCCGATCCCTTTCTCTTCGTGCCTCTTCTTGACAGGTCTTTCTCTACGGCCTTGGCCTCTGTACCAGCCTCCTCTGCCTTTTCAGCTGCTGTATCTTCTCCCACGTCAGCATCTTGCATTTCCACGTCACCCTTCTTTTCACCCACCCCGCCTCCATCGCTCCCCTCCCCTCCCTTCTCACCTCCCTCACTCCTCTCAGGGGCAGCAGCAGCAGCAGCAGCAGCAGCAGCAGCTGTGGCAGAGGAAGGAGCTTCTGGGACAGGTGTGACTGAAGCAGGAGGCGCACTGAACGATTCAAACGAGTCACCCATGGGCATGCGGACAAAGTAGGCCAGACATTGCGCCCGGTCTTTCGTCTTCACATGCCCAGCCACCTTCTCCCAACTATCCCCAAACATCTCAATCCCCTCTAGCAATAGCAAAACTTCCTCCTCACTCCACCCACTTCCTGCTGCTGCTGCGGCTGCCACCTCTTCTGCCGAAGCTGCCACCGAACCTCCTCCTGCTCCTGTGGTGGCTGCCGCTGCACCGGCATAGATCCATGGCCGGGTGTTTAGCTGAGTGGTAACGTAACTTTGTGCACTGGTTACCGCATGTGCTACAGTGCGCATCCCCCACCATTCCCAGCAGCGCCAGCTCAGCAGTTCGCACCGTTCCAGGCTTCCTTGCTCCGGCTGCTCCCGAACCTGCCGCCGAACCTGCAGCTCCAAGCCTAGCGCCAGGCACGGCTCCTTGAGCAAAGGTGCAGACCAAATCCGAAGCCATAAGACCCTCCTGTTTGACTGCAGGAACAGCGAGACGAGACACACCGCCCTTTGCTGCTAATTCTGATTCCAACGGGGCGATCTCGGGCCAGGGGTTAAGAGCAGCAGAGGCGGCAGCATCAGCTGCAGAATCGTCAGTAGTCGAATCCTGAACTGCTGCTACTGCTGCTGCTGCTGCTGCTGCTGCAGCAGCACGCCTGCGAGTGGTTAGACCAGTAGACGAAGCAGCAGCTGTTGCAGCAGCAATGGCTGCCGCTGCTGCAGCAGCGGCCGATGCATTGGCTGCTGCTGCACCTCCTGCTCCGCCCCCTCCTGGCACGTCAGCGTTGATCAACCCCCATTGGTCAAGAAAGTCAAATACCCGCCGGATTGAGCTCACGTCACCAACCAACGCCCGGCGGACACGTGTGAAAGTGAGCGGCCAATCGGACGGCGGCATCTGGCAGTACATGGTGATGATGGCATCTCGGTACTCTTTGTAAAGCGTGGGTGTTTTGGCGGGAGGGGGAGGAGGATACATGGTGGCTGTGGGTGGCTGTGGTGGTGGTGTTGGGAGGAAGAACTCTGGAACCCCACGCTTCTCTAAAGGGTGGATCTTGTCCCACCGAAACCAGCCTGTGTGGTTAGAGGGATTGAAATAAGGGGTGAGAATCGGCAAAAGAATCCAAATGAATTGGGGCATAATGAAAGAAGAGGAAAAATGCTTATTAAGTGAACTTGACAAAAAGGCGTGAATATAGCTTCAGGATCAATCCAATCCTAAAAACAGCAACCTCAGCGAGGCAATAACCCTGATCAACAAGAATAAATTACAAAAAGAGGCATCATTTGGACTTTCAGAAGGACAATTTCCGCAGCGGACTCACTCGCATGGCACGGAACGCGGTAGACCTTTCGCTTCGATCCGTTTCCTGCCGAGACCTTCTCCTTCTCCTCCTCCTGCTTCGCCTCGCCCTCGTCGCCCGCCGCTTCAGCGCCATCCCCCACACGATCCGTCCCACCACCCGTCCCCGTGTCCTTCTCAGATCGTTTTCCCGCAAGAGCATCAGCACCGTTCGCATCATGCATATGCTCTTCCCTAAACTCCTCCTCTTGCTGGTGCAACTGCTGCTGCTGCTGCTCCTCGTTTCTATTCTCATGCTGCTCGTGCGCGCCGTCCTGATGGCCCGGACTCAACTGCAGCGCGTCGTCGTCCTCCGCCTCGTACGCCTGTAACGCGCCCTCCATCATCATGTCCTCGTCGATATCCATTGCCTCGATCAACGGCTTCAATCGATGCCTTCGATCAACGGCCTCGTTCAATGGCCTTAAACAAATGGCTGTCAATGAATGGCCTCGATTAATGGCATATATTGATGGCCTCGATCACTGGGACCTTCGAACCACTTTGCGAGATGAAGCTCCGCCTTTGCTGGAAGTGGAATGATTTACGTGTCTCAAGGTTGCTTCGAACAGTAAATCGCAACGGAAAGCGCTTGTTGATAAGCCGCGGGACTATCTTCGACTAAGCGCAGCCACTAGAACATAAGGTTATAGAGCTTTTGTTCCTCGAACTTATCAAAATCTAGGTTGCTTGCCTCGGTATAGTACTAGGGGGTGGATCATACCACTTCAGTTGAATGCAGTGGGGTGGGGTGAGATGTCTTGCGCTTCAAAACGACTCATTTTATATTCGAGAATGTTTGTGTAGGATTCAGGGGACACAACAAAAACTAAACCGTGCCATAAATGAACGAAATAGCAGAGTAAAAATAATATACTGGCATCAGCGTCACCTTGCATGCACATTCCAATAAAGGAGAAGCGCCTGGTAGAGCTAGAATGTTAACCGATTGCAAAACTTTGTGGAAAGGAGCATTGCATGCTGGGGGAATCAGAGAGTTAGCTGGTCTACCCTGCCCATCCTTCAGGAGTATCCAACGAAGTGGCCAATCTGCCTACCATCTCAGTCTGTACCATCTTTCTCTCAGCTCCCAGAAGCTGCACCAAGACTCGAAACACGTTCGAGGAAAGTGTGCCAATAGCATGGTCGCTAATCTTGTATGCAAGGGAGAAGCTTGCAAGGAAATGGTCTTGGATACCTTTCTTCTCGCCCGCAGGGACATACACATGCCCACCGACTCTTTCCAGAACAGTTCTGTCAGTCGAGTTGTCAAACATGAGCAATGGGGCTTCTGAAATAGTAGCCACAAAGCTCTCCATGTTCTTGATGACAGTCTGACTGTCGCTCATGATGAAGAGGCTGTTCCAATGCATGCTGAGATTTGCAGCTGATGTCTCAATTGCATTTGTGTAGTTGCTCAATCCTCGGTATTGGTGACCATGAAGCCTCCAAAAAGGATCTGCAGAATGAAACACAAGTTCAGAGAATAGAACCAGTTTTGGTGGCGTAACCTTAGCAAAAGCCCTTACCTTCTTGTTCCTTGTCAGTTCGTCTGATGTGGAGCGACACGGTGGGCCTGGACCAGCCTCGATACTGCTTCAAGATCTCCTTTTCAATGTCAAGAATGTAATCGTGGGGTTGAAAGAGCCACTGGCTGATTATGGCATGGAGCATGAATGGTGACCCCGCACCGGCAAAGAACCCTGCCAGCTCTGCATTTCCACAACGCTGAAGAAAAAGAAAAGGATCATTCCTCATTTGCGTCCAAAAATTCGATGGCCAGATGTCTCCACCCCATCCTGGATAAACTCCATTCGTCGGTCCCAAGTATATGACCCTCTCGTTTGAGATTTCGGCCAAGCGGTCCACGTCGCACTGTCCATTGCAAGTGAAATTCCAAGATTTCCAGGAAATGGTGGAGTTGAGGTCGTCAGGGATCTTGCAAGTGGTTATATTCGGGAAGTAGCAACCAAGGTGCTTCTCTTTGCAGCCATCAAATGTGGCATATTCCCAGCGCTTTCCGCCGGGTCTTCGAGGAGCTGGAATCACTGTGCGATTAAGCTTCATACCAAGCGATAATGCGCGGACGAAGGACCGGAAGTTCCACATGAGACCTGCACAGGTTATTTGTTGAAGCTTCTCCTCCCAGAATTGGCATCAAAAAGTGTGCAACAGGTTCTTTTGTTACCGCTAACGTCGGCCTCCACGACCATGAGCTTCGCGTCATCGCATGACCGCGGATGCTGAAGCGCTGTTATGGCGTCGTAGATCATCACATGAGCCGCTTCCGTCCACTGAACAGGGAGCCTTTTCGCCTTTCTTGACACGGTAACATTTGCGGTCAGTTTCTCTTGCAATCCACTCCCATTGCGGTTTCCTTCGGGAGGGATGAGCGCATAGCAGCTATGCTTCGACTTGAGGCCATCCGGAAGCAGACACAATGAATGGCCCTTCAAGTCTAGCTTGGCCAATTGAATTAAAAAAAAACGAAAAGACGGTCGCAGCAATGGTTATTAGAATTCCACACTGGCAAGGGCTGCAAGGAAGGCCTTTCTCCATCACGGCGTCACTGAATACGGAAAGCCAGATTGCATCAATGGCCTGCGAGGGTCTGCTAGCGCAAGTTATATGGTATGGGAAGGAATGGATGAAGCTCGACACCCCCAAGGCGAGAGCGAAACAACTGTACAGGCTTTACATTCTTTATCAATACAGTTCTATGGAAGCTCTATTTCTGATTGTGCTATGAAAACAATATAAACAATATCCCAATTACAATGGACATAAAAAAAAGGGAACAATAAGGTATGCACATTCAAGATCATCAGATTGTGTTACTGCCACGGATCTTGGGAAAGAGGCACAGGAGGGATTTGGAACTTGGCCTTTTGTTTTGGAGGATCAGATTGGTTTGCATCGTTCAACCTAGTTGTGTTGGCATTACGAGATTTAGTTGGTGCCCGACTTGTAAGGGATGATGCTGCCATCACAGATCTTGCAGACGTGAACCCTGTATTGGGAGACGATACACCACTTGCGAGCCTTGGGACCTTCTGCACAAACCAAGGAGAAAAGAATTCAGGCAGGGCAACAGGAGAGCGAGCAATCAGCAAGAACTAAGGATCAGCCACAATGCACCAACAAACAAACAAACAATGCAAATCAAGTGGGCTTGATGGGAGAAAAAACAGCTAACTCAATTAACGATACACTAGGAAGGCAAAGTATCAGGGTGGGGGGCAGCATGGCACTACTGGGAATGTAAACTTTCCTGACAGCATCGTCACCACTCACGCGTGGGCACATCGCATCACGTGACTCACAAACTGCTGTCGCAGGGATGACAGCCTGCTTCTCGGCGCTGCATGCTCGCGGTTATACGCCTCCTCAGCCCGGCTCATTGCCTCCATCTTGCTGGCAAACGAGGGCCTCTTTCCCGTCCTCCTCTCCACTCGAGCAATCTTCTCCGTTGCTTCATCCTCCCCTGGCGTTTGCAGCAGCGCAGACAGACACATGCGATCAGGTACGATACACGTCAGCGTACAAAGAAGGGGTTTAGAACTAACTGAACAAGGGGCGGCATGGTTAGGTGCCAATCACTCCTGCAGAAGCGCCACCAGCGTGGCACATGGTTGCATGCTTTCTCACCATTAGAAAGGCACATGCTTACATGCTCTCACCATGAGAATGACACATGGGCACATACCCATCAGAATGGCACATGGGAACATACCCATCAGAATGGCACACGAGAACATACAATGGCACATCATGTACTCTCACCATCAGAGCCGGAGATGCTCTCCTCAGGCTCCTCCTCCTCCTCATCGTCCCTCTTCCAGAACTCGCTCTCCACCAGATCCTTCAACTTGCTGGACAATGGTGGCCTGCAAGAAGGGAATAACAATACAGTGAGTGCGAGACTGAATGCGCTCCTACGTGCCTTCCTCCTCCTCCTCCTCCTCCTCCTCATCGTCCCTCTTTTATAACTCGCTCTCCACCAGATCCTTCAACTTGCTGGACAATGGTGGCCTGCACCACACCACATGAACACAAGACAGGAAGAAGGGAATAACAATACAATGAACGTGAGATTGAATGCGCTTCTATGTGTGTTGGTCCTCCACGCCTTCATCCTCCTCCTCATCATCCCTCTTCCAGAACTCGTTCTCCACCAGCTGCTTCAACTTGGAAGACAGCGGCGGCCTGCACCACATGAACACACGAGGGGAGAAGGGAATAACGATACAGTGAATGCGAGTGAATGCAAGTGTGAATGCGAGTGAATGCAAGTGTGAATGCGAGTGAATGCAAGTGTGAATGCGATCCTCAGCGCCTTCATTCTCCTTCCCCTTCCGATCCCCCTACTCTTCCAGAACTCGCTCTCTACCAGCTCCTTCACCTTGCTGGAAAACAGCGGCCTGCATCACATGAGCACAAAAAGCAAGGAAGAAAGCAGCAACACAGTGAACAAAAAAACCACAGACAAGCAGAAAAACAACAACTACAGTTTGCCTGCCTACCCTCTCCACTTCCCCAAAGCAACCCCACCCTCATCTCTGTTCAACCCTTTCACACACCTGCCTAATTGCACCCTTGGCTGCATGCCACCACTGCTGCCCCAAATGGCGCCACTCTCCCGAAGTTCCTGAAGAGCCACCTGTTTCTGCGTCGACCCAAGAACCCACGTTCCCCCTTGTAAATCTCACATACCTGCCCATTTGCACCCGTGGCTGCATGCCACCGCCACTGCCCCCGACAGCACCACTCTCCCGAAGCTCCTGAAGTGCTGCCTTTACTGAGTGTGGCGTCTTGCACACGTCACAGCCCCCCGCACACAGCCTTGGGGTGGCCTGGGGGAAGAGATGGAAGAGAATATCTGTATTTTCCACCCTTTTAAAATAAACTCTGTGGTGCGTAAAGAAATGCACATGCTATGGCAGATGCCACGCGGCATTTGCTGCCTCTCTAGAATCTGGTGTTGAGGCATTTGAAAGAGATACATGTTAGGGCAGCGGGCACTTACTGTCTCTCCAAAATGCGTCAGCAGCTTCATTCGGCGGCATGACAGGAGCTCGCAATAGTCCACCATCTGACAAAATCATTAAAATAAGTACATAACAAGAAGAGGCAGAAACAGGAAGGGGAAGAAAATGAAGAAATGGCACCACAAGAAAGGGCAAAACGACAGGAGTTCGCAAAAGTCCTCCGTCTGAGGCATTTGGCACCAAATGCAAGCGCACAACAAGAATGGATCAAACGAGATGATAGCAGATAATGGACAACCAGATGGCAGCCACACACCAGGAAAACAGCTAAGAAACATCAATCGGGCTTCTCTGTAGAAGTTACAAATTAAATGGCTTCTCTGGAACAGTTTGGAGACAAACACTTGAATCGAGGTTGCCAAGTACTGCCTAAGAAAAGGCTTCCTGTTCAAACCTTTTGAAAGGCATCCAGGGCGTTCTTGACTCGCTGAGGCTGTGGAGGGCCTTTTCAGAATTCTCAAAAGTGATTTCGTACTGCCTAAAGAAAGGCTTCTCGTGCAAACCTTTTGAAAGGCGTCCAGGGCGTTCTTGACTCTCTGAGGCTGTGGAGGGCCTTTGCCCCGTGCACCGTCATCCTTCTTGATTATGAACTCCTGGAGAGACAGGGAGTGGTGGAGATGGGGGATGAGGAATGGGTGATGGGGGAGAAGAATGTGGGAATGAACTACGGCGAGAAACAGGGGGAAAAGATGCTGGGCCCTTAACCTGTGCACTCTCCTCCTTCTTGATTATTAACTTCTGGAGAGACAGAAAGAGCAGCGGAGATGGGTGGGAAAAATGCGGATGGGAAATGCGGGATGAAGAGTGGGGAATGGGGATGTGGAACGAAGAATGGAGAGGAATGCGCGGATGAACGACGGTGGATGCTGGTACCTGCCAGGCTGGCTTGAATTGAAACTTGAAGAAAAACTATTTGGTTTCACACAATGATACCTCCACTCACCATGGTCCGTCTGTCCTGCACCCCATAGAACAGAATGCTGTGGCAGGGCTGCTGGCCCCTGCCTGCGTGGCTTGGTCTCTGTTGGCTTAGCTGCTAATCCCAGCCTGTTTACCTACCCTGATCCCTGCCCCACTCACCATGGTGCGTCTGTCTTGCACACCATAGTACAGAATGCTGCGGCACGGCTGCTGGTCCCTGCCTGCGCGCCCCGACTCCTGGTAGAACGCCTCAATGGACTTGGGCAGGGAGTAGTGGCACACCAGCCGCACTATCCCACGATCAATGCCCTGCAGAGAGGGGAGGGAGTGTGAAAGGGAGAGAGTATAAGGCGCCTCGGACCACGGTTGCTGGTCCCTGCCTGCCCGCCCTGACTCCTCAATGGATTTGGGCAGGGCGTAGTGGCACACCAGCCGCACTATCCCACGGTCAATGCCCTGCCGGTAGTGAGATGAGCGAAGGAAATGGAACAAACAAGGGCTGCTGATTCCTGCCTACGAATGAAGAGGGCATGGAAATGGACGTACAGATGCGGCAAAACGAAGGAAAACGAAGGGGGATGCTAGAAATTGACAGCAGTTTGAACACAAAATTTGCATGATTCATAGCCCGGCTAAGTTGGGTTACACACATATTATAACCAACCTCACCCACATCACCAGAGTGAGATTAGCCAAAATTACCAACTCACAAGCGGAAAATTTTGACCAACCTAGATGCCGTCAGATCAAGCCAGATGCAGTCAGATGCAGTCAGATGCAGTCAGATGCAGTCAGATGCAGTCAGATGAAGTCAGATGCAGTGAGACACAGTCAGGTGCGGTCAGATGCAGTTATGAGCGGTCGGATGCAGTCAGGTGCGGTTGGATGCAGTGAGGTGCGGTTGGATGCAGTGAGGTGCGGTTGGATGCAGTGAGGTGCATGCATTCAAATGCCTTTAAACATGGTCAATTCCACTCAGACGCAGTCAGGTGCAGTCTGCTCAAATGCGCTCCAATTCAAGCAGAACTTTGCTACGTGACAGTCAAGCCTCTTTCTGGCTGTTGGCTGTCTTTGGTTGTGGAGAGCAGGACACAAGGCATGGGACCAGCTTACCATTCTGCATGGCAAAGAAACAGCGGAGAACAGTAGGCAGAGCAGAAAGACAGGACCGAAAAAGGGAGAGATGAGGAACGGAATTTTGACTGCATCAAGAGTGGAACTGCTATAACAGTAAAAGCATAGTTGTTATACACAAATAGCTGTTATCCTGATTGATACAATAATGATGTGAACGAGATGTGACATACCCAAAGGCGACGGTGGCAATCATTATGGGGATCTTTCCTCGTGACCAGTCGTCCAGTGCTTCTGTGCGAGCTGCGGTGGACAGCCCTGCATGGTACACTGCAAGGAGAGCACACACAGAAAGCGCAGGCAGGGGCCAATGCGGCCACACACAGGCAGGTGATAATTATGGGGACCTTCCTCCCACATCACCAGTCGTCCAGTGCTTCTGTGCGAGCTGATGTGGAGAGCCGTGCATGGTACACTGCAGGGAGCAGTGGGAGTGAGGGGAGAGAAAGGTCATGTGGGGCACACACAGGCAAAGACAGAGTGACCTCAGCCGACCATTACTTCCTGCGAAAGAGAGATTTCTAGGGATTTCCAGAAGTGTCTCTTGCAAACTGTGCCGCTGACAGCCCTGCATGGTATGCTGCAGAGAGTGTGAGAGATCAATGCGAGGACACACACAGGAAACCTATTCCCCCTCCCCTTCCTCGCCTCCTTTCCTTCCATCCTCCATCCCACCCGACGCCCCTCCCCTCCCTCCTCCCAGCTCACCTTTGCATCTGATCCCATCACGTGTGAGCCAGCAGGCGAGCTCGTCACAGGTGCTGTGGGAATGGCAATAGATGATGCCGCACTGCTGCTTCCAGGTAGACCAATGCTGCAGCCATACACACACACAGGCAGAGAATCCCCTCGATCCAAAGCGCTCACCTTTGCATCTGAGCCCATCACGTGTGAGCCAGCAGGCGAGCTCGTCACAGGTGCTGCAGCAGTGTCCCTCCCCCACCTCCCCCTCCAACTCCCCCTCCCCCTCCCCATCCCCATTCCCATCCCCATCCCCCTCCCCATATCCCACCCAATGCATTATTCACCTTTGCACCGGAGTCCGTCGCGCGTGAGCCAGCAGGCGAGCTCGTCACAGGTGCTGCGGGAGTGGCAGTAGATGATGCCGCACTGCTGCTTCGACGCCAGCAAAGTATCCCGCAAGTCCTTGTAAGGGTCCATGAGGTCCTTGTAGCGCACTGGGTGGGCGGGGAAGGTGGGGGGGGGAAGTGGGGGGGGAAGTGGGGAGGCCAAGGGCCACATTGATAGGAGGAGGAAGCAGGGTGTCATGGAGGTCCTTGTAGCGCACTGGTGGGGGAGGGAGGGGGAGGGTGAGGGATGAGAACCCCAACAGAATGAGATGGGCAGTAGAGGGAGTGGCAGTAGATGATGCCGCACTGCTGCTTCGACGCCAGCAAAGTATCCCGCAGGTCCTTGTAAGGGTCCATCAGGTCCTTGTAGCGCACTGGGTGGGGGGAGGGGGAAGAACGAGGGAGTGGAGAAGAAGACTGCTGCGGGAGTGGCAGTAGATGAAGCCACACTGCTGCCTCGACGCCAGCAGGGTGTCCCGCAGGTCCTTGTGCAGGTCCATGAGGTCCTCGCACTGTGTGGGGGGGAAAAAAGGCGCAAAAGGAAATCGGAAGCCACAGATGTGCACGAAGCCAGTAGGAGAGGTAGACAGGGTATTATGCAAGTCCTTGAACTGATCCATGAGGTCCTTGTAGCGCACTGGGTGGGTGGGGGCAAGGGGGAGGGGGATGGGGAGGGGAAGGCAGGGGGCACAATGGTAGGAGGAGGCAGATAAGGTGTCCCGCAACGCAAGTCCTTGAACTGATCCATGAGGTCCTTGTAGCGCACTGGTGGTGAGGCGGGGGAAGACGAGGACCAAGGCGGGCATCCTTGCTCACCTTCATAATAGATGTTGGGTCTGTTGAAGGAGGAGATCATGGTTGTAGGGTTGCGAAGGCAGAGAGACGACACAATGTCCTCTCGCACCCTGCACACACACACACACCAACCAGCAAACAGCTTGGGTCACTTGCCTGCAGATCGCACACCAAGCAAAGGATAAGTGCTGTGTCCATCCGCGGCATCGAGACAAGCAACGAGCAGGTTCATGTCACAAGGGAAGTCATAAGGAAGTGTTGTGTCAGGGGAAAAAGGGAGGGACAAGGCTTGCTTTAAGAGGGTCACGGTCAGCTTTAGGAAGGTAAACTTCAAGGTCTCGGTCATGGTCTGCTTTAAGGACGACAACTTCAAGGTCTGGGTGTACCGTGTACCTACTTTGCAACAGCCGTGGCAGTGATATGCAGGCCTGAAATCATGCCCCCATGACGAAATGCAATGAGCCTGCACAAGGACGACCGAAACACATGTGAAGAAAAACACACACTCGCTCAGTATGGTGTGCGCTTCCACTGCCTCTGACGTCACATTCATCTTCTGAGGCACTTCAAGAGCAGGACGCGGACTAGTCACCTAACCTCATGTACTGCGAAGAATCTGAGAAGACCTCCATAGTTGTTTGCGTGTAAAGCCTCCATAATGGTTTACCGAAACTATTCACCTCACCTCATCGACAGCGAAGAGGCTGAGCAGCCCTCTGTCGTGGAGCTTCCTGAAGACACTCATTATGGTGTGGGTGTCCACTGCTTCCGGGGTCACATACAGCAGCTTCAGTGCTGGCCGTCCATTCCCCAGATCAGCAAGAATCTGAACGGACGAAAATTGCAGTACGGTTAGAAAAAGAGAAGAAAGAGGCTAGCATGCATGCAACTGAAATGGATGATGAGAAGTGCGTGTTCGCAGTTACATTTGTCCGCTTTGCAGCAGAAATGGATGAGGAGAGGTATTCCGCCGGAATGTTCTTCTTCCTCAGGGATTCCACTTGATTCTGCATCAATGCTGCAACATGTAGGAGTGGTGAGGAGAAATTGGAGTCACGCTTCGGATTTCTTCTAAGTGACTCGAGTATTTGCAGGAGTGGCGAGGAATAAGTAGCAGTGCAGAGAGATTGACGTCAATTAGTAGGAAATGGTGGAACCAGAAGTCCCACGAAACGACTGTTTCAACGGAAAAGCGGCTGTTTGAACGGCACAAAGCGACGCGAAATGGTATGAAGCGTATGTCGCGAGGCTTGCTGACCAATGAGCGGAGAGACGACAATGACGACACCCGGTTTCATCAGCGCGGGGATTTCGTAGCACAGCGACTTGCCACCTCCGGTTGGCATCATGCAGAAGCAGTCAGACCCTGAAACCGAGCAATCTCTGTTATAATAAGATTCAGAAGCCTCACGGCGACATCCTAGAGCCTTATTGCGTGTGGAGAAACTTGCGGAGCTGTGCAACGGAAACGCTCACTAAGCAGGATAAGTACCTGATAAAACGGCTCTGATAACTCCTTCCTGATTCCCGCGAAAACTGCATCAAGACAGCAAGCGCACGGTTGTCTTCGACTTTTCAATTTCCTAATTTGCCTAGAAATTAACGACGCTAACCTGACGTAACCGAAGTACTTCGTCAAGACACTGACGGGATCTGGCACATTTCTCTCTTCCGTCTGGGTTTCTTCTCCGTTCCTTGCAGGCTCACGATCTTCAGGAGTATTTTCCATGGCTGCTGAGTCTAGCGTCACCGTGACGCTGATTTCTTCCGTTTGTTGATGGTTGGAATCGCTGGTTCTGATTCTTTTGCTCGAGGAAGGAGCCATGAAGTCAGTGATCCGAGAAGCTTGAGCAGGAGGGGAGGGGATTGGCTTTCATCTGGCCATTCTGACACTGACAGAACAATGCAGCCAGAGGTGACTCAAAATTCTCCAAAAACTCCCCGAGGTTACGAAGTCAAGAGTGACATCAGTAAGGCGCGGTTCCAGCTGTTTTCTTTACGTTTCAGAAGGATTTGTTTAACGAAGTACATCGGTTGAGTATGGTTGGTATGAGCCAAAAGTCAATCCTTATCACGGCGAAATCGATGGCGACGTGGACGAGGTGAGCGTTTCGCTTCTTCACGACCGAGTATGATTTCTACACAACAGAAGCTGAAGTGAACACGACCCCAGATCTGAACCCCAGGTTTTTGTGCTTCTCTACACCTACAATGTAGTCTTTATCTAACCGATTGCACAGATAAGCACTTATTACTTGCAGAAACCTCCTCTTTCAGAGATGGGAAAATATAGTCTCAAATAAAAATAATTATTTTAAGTCTGTAATATTCCTGATTACTTGTACGTCATGGTATTCCAAGAATTGTAACGATTATTAGTAGTTTTATAATTTCACTTTAGAGGGTGACTGTGCTATTCAATGTACGACCATGCTTAGCTGTATTCCTCCTAGAAGTCACCAGAACCCGACAAGACCAATGTAATCGACGCGCTGGCGTTTTGAATAAACAGTGAGCGTCGGCTTATGTGTACTAGGATTGGGAATGCCGATAAAGCCGTATTTCCGCCTCTAATTGGCTCGCGACTCTTGCGAGCCTTCGCCAAGTCGCGGGAACTTCTGTTCCCGCATAACGAAGGCTTGTGCGAAAGCTTCTTGACCACTAAGACGAAATACTAACGCGGCTCAACGAACCATTGGGTTCCTACAATGAGGGGTAGGAGATCTTCGTTCGCCTAACCTGTGGATTAGGCTATGTATGATGTATGCTAACCTTCGCTAACCTATGCTATCCTGTGCTAACTTGTCGTTTCCTAGCAGCAACCTAAGAAACCCTTGTTGGTCTCACGAGACCTGGTAGGAGGGTGATGTGGGATGAAAGTTGGTTGGTTCAAGTACCCTCTGATCCAATCTTGCTTGCAATGCCTACTAAGTCTATTCTTGCTGTGATTTCTTGGTCTCCGAGGTCTCCGATTATAACGGATGACTTGCTTAGCTTCTCTCATAGAACAACATTCTTTGCCGGTTCGCTGCTATGCTTACCACGTAGCTCGCACCAGGTGTTGATCAAGTTACTACCTGGAAGTTCATGAAAATATGCTAATTTAGGATCCATTGCGGGTGACTATTGAGGAGTGGAAATATATACGGAGATATTACTCGCCGGAGAAGCCAGAACATTTTGCTGGTCCTTCCGAACTTAGTCGGTGATATATCATGGGTGGACCTGTCGATGCCGACTTGCCTCCGACCCCACACACTGATAAAGACTCCGTGGAAATACCTAGCCCAGAAGCGCATACTATGACGAGCGACTCGGTTGATCCAAGCGGGAGCGGCGGTGACGACGGGATTGATACACGCAGAGAGAAACGGAGGAGGAGTCCTAGCTGCGACGATTCGGACTGGCGTGAAGCTCAAACGAACGGAACAATGCGAGAAGGAGAAGCGCAGGAGAACGGCGGAGCTAAGAGACCGAGGCTCACTAGTCTGATTGAGAAGAGCCGTCCAGACGACAACGGAATCATAACCAACGAGCGGGGTAACAACGAGAGTGATCCTAAGGAGGGTGATAATGACGCAGATCCAGCCCTGCGAGCAGACAATGCCAAGGGGGACCCTGACACCCGTAAGCCAGAGTCCACAGTATCGAAGACGCGGATAACGGGTACGGCCGGTGACGCCACGGTCGACGAGGATAAAGAGACCGAAAAGGTACTTGCCGGTTCGATTTCTCCGTCGACAGCCGTGGATGGAAAGCTAGCAACGAATCTCGACCGTGCAACCGCGACCGCTGCTACTAGCGGTACAGCGTCAGCTTCTAACGCGGACATTATGGCCGCTACAGAGTCAACATTCATCAATACTAGCACTGCGGACATCAGCGATCCACCACGTCAGCACCTTGACGCATCTGACGGTGTCGATTCGTCCCATCCGACGTCCGGTCCCCTTGCATTCCCCACCGCTCCTCTTACCGCGGACAAACCTCTTCGAGATGTTGACCAGGAGTTAATAACGCGTACAATCGCTCCGTCTGCTGAAATTTCGGCGTCTCCGCCTGCAGAAGCGGCGGGGAAGGGGGACGCGGGAGTATCCGCGGCAGGGGAAGGGGAGGCGGAGGAAGAGGCGAAGGAGAAGGCGGAAGTGGGTGTTCGGAAGCGGAAGGAGGAAGCGGGGGTCTCTGCTGAAGGGAAGGAAGAGGCGGAGGAGATGGAGGAAGTGAAGGAGAAGGGAAGAGGGGGGATGAGGGAAGAGGGAGTTGTGAAAAGAGAACGTGTCGGGGGCAGTTGCATTGAAGCTGACGGTGTGTTTGGAGGTGATGCACTGGAGCAAGAAAAGATCACGGAGGCGGAAACAGGTACCGCGCAAGGGGAGGGTCAGGCGCAAGGAAGACAAAGGAACCAGGAGCCGCAGCAGCAGCAGCAGGAGAAGCAGGAGGAGGAGGAGAAGCAATCGGCACAGCTGTTGGCGGAGGTGGTATCTGCAGATAAGGAGAAGAACGCAGGGCACCAGGAGCACAAGGAGCAGCAGCTTCCTCCAGTGGTGGAGGTGGTATCTGCAAATATTGAGAAGAACGCAGGGCGCCAGCAGCACCAGAAGGAGCACCAGGAGGAGCAGCAGGAGGAGCAGCAGGAGCAGCTTCCTTCCGTGGTTGAGCTGGTCTCTGCAGGAGAATTACCCCAGCAGGGACAGCGTGTGGTGCTGCCAGTAGACGCAGTCGTGTGCGTTGAACAACCGCCGCCTGCTCTGGAGTCGACTGGAAAGTCGCCGCCTGCTCTGGAGTCGACTGGAAAGTCGCTGCCGGCAGATGCTGTTGTGTGCATTGAGCCGCCTGTTCGTGATTCAACGCAGATTGCACTGCCAGTCGATGCAGTCCTGTGTGTTGAACAACCGCCGCCTGCTCTAGAAGGTTCAATGCAAGATCCGCTTCCCCTGGACGTAGTCGTGTGTGTTGAACCGCCTGCTCTCCCACGTGGACCGATCTCCCCTGCTCTGCCCGTTGCACCGTCTCCTTTGGCAGTGCTGCCGGCCTACACACCTGCTGTGACGGTGGTATCTGACGACGCTGATTCGTCCCAGCAGACGCTGCTGCCGCCGGCTGCTGCTGTGGTGACAGTTGATCCACCTGCTGTGTCGGTGGTATCTGACGACGCAGCGTCCTCCGAACAGCCTCTTCTGCCGCTGCTTCCAGCAGTTGTTGAGGTGGTTTCGAGTGGGGCGGACGGTCCAGCCTCTGTTGCTGTGCTTGCAAGAGAGGCTCTGCTGACTGCCAGTGGGATCGTCAGTGTTGTGCGCGCTGGCAGTGAGGAGAGGGCATGCGAGGAGCAGGAAGAGGGGGCAGGCGGTGAGCTGGAGAAGGAGGGGAAGGAGGAGGAGAAGTCAGTGTCTGCTGCTGTGCTTCATCCGGGGGAGGCTCTGCTGACTGCCAGTGGGATCGTCAGTGTTGTGCACGCTGGCAGTGAGGAGAGGGCATGCGAGGAGCAGGAAGAGGGGGCAGGCGGTGAGCTGGAGGAGGAGGGGAAGGAGGAGGAGAAGTCAGTGTCTGCTGCTGTGCTTCATCCGGGGGAGGCTCTGCTGACTGCCAGTGGGATCGTCAGTGTTGTGCGCGCTGGCAGTGAGGAGAGGATAGGCGCGGAACAGAAAGAGCTGGAGAGGAGTAGGAATGCAGAGCATGCGAAGGCAGTGAGTAGAACGGTAGAGGAGGGGGAAAAGATGCAGGAGAAACAGGAGGATGAAAGTGAGCACAAAGGCGCGGTTTCTGAGGAGGAGAAGAATGGAGAGGGGCAGGCGAAGCGGGCACAGGAGGAGCAGGCACTACCTGTGAAAGAGGGAGCCTCGGGCCGGGAGGATGCTGAGGGGGAGAAGGAGAAGGAGAAGGAGAAGGATAAGGAGAAGGAGAAGGAGAAAGAGCAATTGAAGGAGGCGAAGGAGAAGGAGGGGAAGGAGAAGGGGAAGAAGACGAGGGGGGTAGAGGGTGGCGATGGCAAGGGGGAGTTGTTGGAATGTAGCAAGGGAGAGAATGAGGCACTTGAGTTGACTCAAGCGGATGGTAAGGAGGTGGAGGAGAAGGGTGGCGACGGGACGAGCGATGAGGGAGTGGTGGTGGGGAATAGGAAGGGTGGGGAAGAGAGGGATGAGAAGATTGTTGAGAGCAAAAGCAAGAGGGCAGCTGGGGGTGATGGGAGTGGTGAGAATGAAGACTTAGGTGAGAAGGACGAGAGAGGTGTACTAGATGAGACTGCAAGCGATGAGGTGAGGGAATTAGGGAAAGAGGAGGGAGGATTGGGGAAACAGGATGTTACCATTAAGGATGCGGAAGGGATGGAGGTAGATGAGAAGAGGGGCGAGGAGAAGGGAGAGGAGAAGGGAGAGGAGAAGGGAGAGGAGAAGGGAGAGGAGAAGGGAGGGGAGAGTGGAGGGAGAGAGGAGGAGATGGAGGAAGGGAAGGTGGAGAAGAGAGAGGAGGGAGGGAAGGAGAAGGGAGAGGAGCAAGAGAATGAGGAGAAGGGAGTGGAGGGAGAGGAAGGAGGAAAGGAGGAGAAGAGTGGAGAGGGAGGGGATTCGATGGAAGGGAATGCGGGTGTTGCTGAAGGAGATGGTGTTGCGAGTGGCAATGCCGATGCCTCACAGATAGTCCTTGGTGCTGAGGGGGACGATGCAATGATGATTGATGAGAAGAGAGGAGAGCAGAGGCACGTGGCAGAAGGGAGTAGAGAGAGGGAAAGGCGAGAAGATGCCGAGGAGGAAGGGAGCAAGAAGGGCGAAGGCGAGGGTGGTAGAGGGAGTCAGCAGCTGACTTTGGCTTCGACCGAAGAAGGGAAGGAGCCTGAAGGAGTGGGTTTAGCTGCAGCGAAGGATAGCCCTATAGTTCCCACTCCAACTGATGCAGATGCTCCTGCTGCTGCTGCTGCTGCTGCTGCTGCGGATTCTCCTGCGGAAGCAGCAGCTGCAGCTGCAGCTTTTCCTGGTGCGGCAGGTCCAGCTACAGAGGGTGTGGGGGGGGTGGTTACAAAGAGGAACGAGGGGAGGAAGATGTGGGAGTGGGATGAGCGGATGCATGCATGGGATGGCATCATGCGCGCATGGCATGGACGCATGGTGGCCTGGACTGGGGTCATGGATGCTTGGAGGGCGCACAGACGAGAGCAGAGGAGGAAGCAGAGACGGGAACAGAGGCGCACACAGAAGCAGAAGCAGAAGGAAGAGCACAAGGAAGAGCAGGCAGCAGAGGAGATGGCAGATGAAAAGGGGCGTGTTGCGGCTGCTGCTGGAGCCAGCAGCGATACTTATGTTTCTGGGGATGATAGTGACTCCAGTGGTAGTGACAGTAGCGAGGATGATACTACTGAGGTCTTGCAGCTCGGTGGTATTGGTAACCCTGTTACGGGTGCCCTGGCTGCAGTCTCTGCTGCGGAGTCAGTAGCAGCTGCAGCAGCAGAGGCAGCAGCAGCAGCCACAGCAGACGCTGCTGCAATCCTAGGGCCAGCTGTATTCACTACAGCCATAGAAGCCGCTGCAGCCGGCGCTGCAGCCGGTGCTACAGCCGGCGCTCCAAGAGCTGCTGCTACAGCTGGCGCTACAGCCGGCAGCGAGTGGCAGTGGGGCATGCCTGCCGGCCTGCCTCAGCACCTACCGGCTCAGTTCCAGAAGCAACGGCTGGTCGAGTTCTGCAGGCATGCAGCAGAGCAGGAGGAGAATCTCTGGGTTCCTGCTACAGCTGCTACAGCTGCTGGGGTTGTTGGGGCTGCTGGGGCAGCTGGGGTTGCTGGGGCTGCAGGGGCTGCAGGGCTTGGGGGGGAGGAAAGGCCATCTGGGACCGAGCTAGCAATAGTGCCTGTGGAAACAGGCTATGAGGGGAATGCTGGCTACGAGGGGAATGAGTTGTATGAGCGCGCGCTGGTTGCTGCAGGAGGAGTGTATGGGGCAGGTGAGGAGCAGAGATTAGGGAGTGGGGGTGTGGGGATGGGAGGGATGGGGGGTGGAGAGGGTAGAGCAGGGAGCAGTGGTGGGAAGGGGTTGGGCAGGAGCAGGCGCAGGAGCAAAGGCAAGGGCATGGAGGGGAGTCCAGGGAAGAAGACGAAAGAGGATGCTGCAGCAGATGCATGGGAGCAACAGCAGGTGCAGCAGCAACACCTTCACCACTGCCATAACCAGCAGCAGCAGGTGCAGGGTTACATGGAATACCAAGGGCAGGAGCCACAGAATGGGGGCACAGCAGCAGCAGCAGCAGCGCAGGGCAGTGGGAGTCACAACTCGGGAGGCCACGGCCGTGGGGACGGGCACAGCAGTGGTGGGGGTGGAGGAGGGGGAGCAGGAGCGGGAGCAGCAACAGCAGGTGGGAATCACGGCACCAGTGGACGCTCATGGCATTTCTCAGGGTACCCCGGCGTGTCTCGAAACGGGAGGAAATGGTCAGCTAAGGTCTCTATGAACTCCCAGCAGAGGGCCCGGTACGGGGTGTGCCAGAACATGCACTGCGGGCAGTGGGAGAAGGTGGAGCAAGCAGCAGCCGCAGCCGAAGCAGCGTGTTTTGTTTTCAAGGGAGGGAAGGGGCGGACGTGGAAGTTTCTTACTGAGCAGCAGAGGGAGGTGCTTGGGGAAATGGATCCGGATGAGGGGATGTGGCTGATCAAGGCGAAGAGGTGGAGGGAGTGGAATGAATGGCAGCCGAACAGGACTGGGTGGGTGAAGGGGATGGGGTTGGCGGAGAGTGGGGATGGGCATGGGGTGGGGGGCGCGCAGCAGGAGGGGCAGGGGGAAGGGGAGGGGGGTGAGGGGCATGGGATGGGGCAGGAGGGGCGGGAGGGGCAGGAGGGGCAGGAGGGGCAGGGAGAGGGGGAGAGTCAGGAGGGTGAGCCGATGCTGTTGGAGTGGCATGAGGGGTGGGAGGGTAGGCATGCGGATGGGCAGAGGGATGAGGAGGGAGAACAGGAGAGGGAGCATGAGAGGGAGGAGAGGAAGAAGGAGAGGGAGAGAGAGAGGGAAAAGGAGAGGGAAAAAGAGATGGAGAAGGAGAGGGAGAAGGAGAGGGAGAAGGAGAGTGAGCAGCAGAGGGAGAAGGAGAGGGAAAAGGAGGAACGCGAGCAGCTGAAGGGCAAGGAGCAAAGGCAGGACGGGTTGCGAGAGAAAGTGGAAGAAGAGGAAAAAGAACCTCGGGGGCTGAAACTGGATCTGAATGCTCAGCAGCCTCTGCACTTTTATCAGGAGCCTCCTCCTCCCCCGTCTTTCCCTGCTCCGCCTCTTTCCGCTCCTCCTTTTCCTCCTCCAGTTGCTCCATCACCCCTTGTTGCAGCACCACCCGCATCCCACCCAGTGCTTTTCCCCCAATCCGCGCTACAGCAGGCTGCAACCACGCTACAGCAGGGCACATCCGCGCTACAGCATCAGCAGCCAGTGGCGTCGATTCGAGAGCTGTTGGCCATGCCCCGTCCCTTCTCTGTTCCTCCCCCTCCTGCTGCTGTGGGTCAGCATCAGGGCCAGCCAAGTCAGCAGCAGGAACATATGCTGAGTCAGCAAAGTCAACAAAGTCAACACCTGCAGCAGGGGCAGAGTTTCGTGCTCTCCCTCCCACCTGCGTCCAACCCACCACTGCACCCTCCTCCTCTGCACCCATCTCTTCTCCCTCCCCCCCAGGCCTTCCTGCAACAGCATGGGGGCACTCTAGGCCTCTTCCCTCCCATTGCTCTTCCTGCCCATCCCACCTCTCCTGCTGCTGCTTCTGGCACTGGTGCTGCTGCTGCTGGTCTTGCTGGGGCCTCTGCTACTGCCACTACGCCTCCTCCTGCTGCCGCCACCACTCTCACCATACCTCCTCCTACAGCCACTCCCGCTCCCGCCCCCGCCTCGCCCACTCCCCCTACCCCCACCGCAACCACTCTCCCGCTCTTCTCCTCTAACGAGTCAGCTCATAACGAGGCGTGGCCGCACGAATCGTTCAGCCAGCATCAGCGTGTGGCGAGGATAAGGGAGATGCTGGGATCTTCATTCAGTGCGCTCAAGAGTAAAGGGCTGGGAGAGAGTTCTTTGGGTGTTGATTCTTTGAGTGGGGGTTCCCTGGGTGGTGATGGTGCTGGTGGTGCTGGTGGTGATGGTGATGGTGATGGTGATGGTGGTGGTGGTGGTGGTGGTGGTGGGTCATTAAGTGCTGGGGCTTCGCTAAGTGGCGGTATGGGTTTACTGTGGGGGGGGACGAAGGCGGTTGGTGGTGGTGCCGCTGATGGCGCTGGTGCTGGTGGCGCTGCTGGTGCTTCCAGCATCACACCTCCTCCTTTTTCTTCCCCTCCTCCTCCTCTTCCTCATCCTATCAGCAGCTCTCATGGTCCTATTGGTGCTCCTACAGCTGCTGTTCCTGCTACCGCGGGCAGCAATTCACCCTTCCCTTGGTTATCTGTACCCACGCCAGGGAGTGTGGTCCCACCTGCACATTCACCTGCTCATACCCCTGACCCGCATGCTGCTGCTGTTGCTAGTGCTACAGCTGCTGCTACAGCCGGTGGAACCTCAGCAGACGTGCAATCTACTACTCCTGCTACAGAAACCACCGCAGCAGCAGCAGCAGCAGCAGCAGCAGCAGCAGCAGCAGCAGCAGCAGCAGCAGCAGCAGCAGCCGCTTTGAACCCAGCGAATCACGGGCCAAGACCAGCCTCAGGGTACCTTGGAGTGGTGAAGAGTGGTCGAAAGTGGGCAGTGCAGCTATCGATGAACATGAAACAGCGAGCGAGCTACTCAGTAGGCCATATCCTCAACTGTGGGGTTTGGGATGATGTTGGGGAGGCTGCTATTGCAGCAGAGGCCGCTTACCTGGTGCTGAAAGGGGAGAAGATTGAGTTTAGGTTGCTCAGTGAGGAGCAGAAGAGGAGGCTGAGGCAGATGGGTCCGGATGAGGCAGTGAGGATTATTAAGGAGAGGAGGTGGAAGGTTTGGAGGGATTGGAGGGCCGGGAAGGAGAGGGATGGGACAGGGTGGTTTGTGGGGGAGGAGGGAGGGGAGGAGAGGGGGGAGGGATGGAAGGTGGGGATGGGAGAAGGGAGGGGAGAAAGGGGGCGGGAGGAGGAGGAGGAAGGGTGGGAGCGGCAGGATGGGATGGAGGAGGAGGAGGAGGGGCGAGGGAGAAGGAGAGGGAGTGGAATGGAGGTTGCACCGCCGTTTACTCCTCTCTCCCTCCTCCCGCTCAGTCCCATGCGCCATCCCTCACATCCCTCCTCTGCCCGCTCCTCTCCTCCCTCCTCCTCAGCTCCTTCTCACTCAGAGCACGCTTTTCCCGGCCCTGCACCAGCAGCAGCAGCAGCAGCAGCAGCAAGAGAAGACAGGGCCCTCCGGGAGGCGGTTACAGGAGGTGAGAAGCGGCACGGGCAGAAGCAGCATGGTCAGAACGCGTTTGCATCATCCCTGTCTCTATCCTTGAACGCTTCTCCCCCCAGCGACCATGTACGAGGCTCTGGGAGGATAGCAAAGAGGGAGGAGCAGGAGCAGGAGGAAGAGACCGGCATGGCAGGCATGGGTCATGAATATCGCAGACACAGGGAGAAGCAGAGGGGGCACGAGAGCGGGCATGGGAGGGGGCATCACGAGCGGGAGCAGGAGCGGGAGCATGAGCAGGAAAGCGAGCGTGAGTTCAAGAGGGCTCGGCACACGCATAGTGACGATGATGCAGCTAGCAGAGAGAATGAGTATAGCGATGCTGCTGTCACACAGCGTGAACGAGAACGAGCACAGCATGGGAGGGAGGCGCACTACCCAGAGTCCTCGCAAGCTCTCGTTCTGATTGGCTCTCCAGCGCACCGACAGAGCACACCGGAGCAGCACAGCTCAGCGCCCAGTCACCGCGAGTCAGCGCCGGGCCGTGCTGACTCGGCGCCAGGTCAGCATGGGGTCGGGCCAGGTCATTCGTCCCTGCCACAACCCCCTGGAGAGGGCTACGCGTCGGGCTACTTTGGCGTTTTTCGTAACGGTAAGAAGTGGTCTGTAAAGGTTCCTATGGACGCTAAGCAGAGAGCCTTATACGGGGTATATCAGAAGCTACACTGCGGCCAATGGGAGGATCTATACGAAGCAGCAGCAGCGGCAGAAGCGGCTTACTATGTGTTTAAAGGGGAGGGTAAGAGGGAGTTTAGATTTCTGACTGAGGGACAGAGGGAAATGTTGAGACATATGGGGGCGGATACCGCTGTTTGGTTGGTCAGGGAGAAGCGGTGGGCTGAATGGAAGGAGTGGAGAGGAGAGAGGGGGCCTGTTCAGGCGCACTTGCCACAGCAGCAGCTGCAGCAACAGCAGCAGCAGGAGGAGCAGGAGCAACAGCAGCACCAGCAGCAGCATCACCAACACCAGCAGCAACAGGAACAGCATCAGCAACACCAGCAGCAACAGGAACAGCAACAGCACCAGAAGCAGCAGCAGCAGGCTAGTCAGGGGTGGTGGGATGGACGAAAGGAGGGTGGGCTGTTGAAAGCAAAGGAGGAGGAGAGGAAAGAGGGAGAGGGGAGTGGCAGTAGGAACTGGTTACAGCAGGGGCCAGGGCAGGGACAAGGACAGGGGCAGGGGGGAGGGGAGGGGTGGCGGGGGCAAGTGGGTCTGTCGCTACCCCAGCAGTGGCAGCAGCAGCAGCAGCAGCAACAGCAGCAGCAACTTCAGCAGCAGAACCAGAATCAGAATTACAATCAGATTCTGAATCAGGCACATCAGCAGCAGCAGGGGTGGATGGGGCAGGGTCCGATGCAGCAGCAGCAACAGCAACAGCAGCAACAGCAGCAATGGCAGGGGCTGCAGCAGCCTCTGTCACAGCCTATGCAGCAGCAGCAGTGGCAGCAGCAACAGTGGCAGCAGGGACAGCAGCAGCAGCAGCAGCAGCAACAACAACAACAACAGTGGCAGCAGGGACAGCAGCAGCAGCAGCAAGCACAGCAACAGTGGCAGCAGCAGCAGCAGCATCAGGGGCAACAGCAGCCACTATCCCTGGTTCCACTGCCCAACCCACACGAATCCCCTCTGTCCCTCCTCCCTGCCACTGCTGCTCTATCTGCTCCGCAAGCAGCCAAAAGCACACCTACAAGCGCAGACGAGAGGGACATAGCAGAAGGAGAGGAGGGTGAAGCTGCTGGTGCTGGTGCTGGTGGTGGGGGTGGGGCCGGTGGGTCGAGCCATGTCTCCTGGGCTTCTGGGTACTATGGTGTGGCAAGAAACGGCCGAAAATGGGCAGCGAAACTTTCGATGAACGCTGACCAGAGGCAGAGGTACGCCGTAGGAAAGAGCATCCACTGCGGGCAGTACGAGGAAGTTTTGGAGGCGGCGGCTGCGGCCGAAGCGGCGAATTTCGTGTTCAAGGGCGGGAAGGGGCGGACGTTTAAGTTTCTGACAGAGCAGCAGAGGGAGGTGCTGGGGGAAATGGATCCGGATGAAGCTATGGTGATGATCAAGAATAAGACTTGGAAGGATTGGAAGGACTGGCGGCCAGGAGGGGTTGTGGTGGGAGGGGGAGGGGAGGGAGGGGGGAGCGGGGGAGGGGAAAGCGGGGGAGGGGCGGGAGTGGGGGAGGTGGCGGGAGGAGGGGGTGGGATGGTGCCAGGGGTGGGGGAGATGGGGAGTGGAGCAGGGGGGGGAGCACCAGGGGAAGTGGGAGTAGGGGGGGGCGGAGCAGGGGGTTTTGGAGAAGGTGCGGGAGCAGGTTCGGTAGTAGGATCGGGAGTAGGAGGGGTGGGAGGAACACCCGCAGGGGGTTTTTCAAGTGGGTTTGTGCATGGAAGGATGGTGGTGGGTGGTGGGATTCACGAGGAGAGAATACAGCCTGGGAGTATTCCCATGCAGCCGGGAAGCATTTCAATGCAACCCGGAAATGTCGCCATGCAACCGGGTAGCAGTGGGAATTTTCTTGCTTACCCACCACCAGGGGGAGGGGTTGTGACTGGTGCACAGGGTGTGGGTCACAATGGGGGGAGAGGAGGGGGGGATGCGCGAAGGGAGGAGGTTCAGGAGGAGGAGAAGAATTCGGATGAAGAGGAGGAGGGGACGGGGGCAAAAGAGTGGAAGGAGTATGTATTGCGGCTTGCTATGGGAAGTGGATAAGTGATCAAGAGGTATTGCAATTCTGTTAAAGCCGGCGGCCCAAATTGTTCATGCTTTTAAAAGTTGACCAGAGGGAGTTTTTCTGGTGTGGGCTTTGGCGAGAGTTTCCGATTTCGTCTAGGTTCGGTTTTTTCACGAGACCCAGCCAACCCTCGGTTTTCCCCCTGGTGAGTGAATCTGTCTTCGAAAGTCCCAAATTGCAAGTGCGTGACTTTCAAAAGCTTGGACACTCAACTTCGTCAAGTTTTAAAAACTTGACCCTCGCGGCCCGCAATTTGGGACGCGGGCTTTAATGGTCTGCGGTACAATTCCGAAGAATCATTCGTGGGACAAAGGTATTTTTTTTCCTGTCGATGACATAGAGAGTACGTGATGCATTATTGTTCAAGGTGGAGTTGGTGAAAGACTTATATTCATTTGTATTATTATGCACCATGCTTTGATCCATTGTTTTTCAAGCTTTACGTTTATTGCTGCCAAATCAAGGGGTGTAAGTAAGTGCGACTCATATTATTTCATTTGCGCTTGCTGTTCGTGTTTTCGCGAATTGCTTTAGCGACACAGGAAACTCTTCGTCAAACTCCTGTCCGCGAATCCTTCTCAATTCAGCTCCCTAAAAAACCCCGCACTTGCCAGAGTCTAAAATCTTTGCCTAGCAGAGAAGGAATTACAGTGACCAGAATCGAACAGGAGGCCATAAGGGAGGTGGATTTCTAGCGAGGAAGAAGGGGGGAAGGCGAGATGGAGCAAGAGAAGATGATAGAAATCAAGCTCGACCCGGAGGAGAGGAGGACGGAGATTGACATTAAAATTGACCCAGATGATTTCGAGAAGTTCAAAAAAACTTTCGCCGATGACGTGAAAGTTGAACTCGATGCCATGAGGCAGCGCGGCGGCGGAGACGCTACACTCCTCCATCCTAACCACCCCGCGCCTCGCGCTGTATCGTATGCCGAACCTACCGGTTTGGGAAACTCCGAGGTTCGCGTTGTGAGGGATGCCGAGCCTAGGGGTTTGGGAAACGCCGAGCCTGGAGAGCAGCTGCGGGAGGTTCATTCCGTGGGGCTGCTGCTTGCGCCTGCGGTCGGTATTCCCAAGAGTTCGATCGAACCTAAGCAAGAGCCTGCAGAGGGGGCGGAACGCCCTAAGCAAAGGGATGAGGATCCGAACGGGGTTGAGAATGGTTCTTCTTCCAAGGCGCCTAAGAAACTGGTCGGTATTCCCAAGGGCTGGTTCGGACCCAAGCAGGAGCCTGCAGACAGTATGGCTAACCGTGGGCATGCGGATGGGGATGGGGTTGGGAATGGGCGTTTGGATGGGTTCGCTCTCGAGGCGCCTAAAAACCTGGTCGGTATTCCCAAGGGCTGGGTTAAACCCAAGCAGGAGCCTGATACGCTTATGGATAGGCATGGGGATGGGCTTGGGGAAGTGGATGGGGATACGCTCATGGATAGGCATGGGGATGGGCTTGGGGAAGGGGATGGGGATACGCTTATGGATGGGCATAGGGAGAGGTCGGTTCCTAAGGAGCCTCACAAACCAGTCGGTATTCCCAAGGGCTGGGTCGAACCCAACCAGGCGCCTGCAGAGGGGATGGAACGCCATACGCCAAGGGACGGGGATACGAACGGGGGTATTCCCAAGGGCTGGGTCGAACCCAACCAGGCGCCTGCAGAGGGGTTGGAACGCCAGTCGCTCTGGGATGGCAATGGGAATGGGCAGGTTAATGTGCATCAGGAGCAGCAGCACAAAGAAGGGGAGAGGAGACCGAGAAGAGAAGAGAAGAGGAGAGGGCTTGTGTGCTGGACAGGGAATGAGAGACTCGGGAGGGAAAGGGGAGACGAGAGGGAAGGAGGGGGGAGAGAGGAGGAGAGGAAGGGAAGAGAGGGAGTGGTGGTGAAGATGGAAAAGGGGGAGGAGGAGAAGGAGGAATGGGAGATTGGACAGACGGAGGAAAGGGAGATTGGACAGACGGAGGAAAGGGAGATTGGACAGACGGAGGAAAGGGAGATTGGCCAGACGGAGGAAAGGGAGATTGGACAGACGGAGGAAGGGGAGATTGGACAGACGGAGGAAAGGGAGATTGGACAGACGGAGGAAGGGGAGATTGGACAGACGGAGGAAAGGGAGATTGGACAGACGGAGGAAGGGGAGATTGGACAGACGGAGGAAAGGGAGATTGGACAGACGGAGGAAGGGGAGATTGGACAGACGGAGGAAAGGGAGATTGGACAGACGGAGGAAAGGGAGATTGGACAGACGGAGGAAAGGGAGATTGGACAGACGGAGGAAAGGGAGATTGGACAGACGGAGGAAAGGGAGATTGGACAGACGGAGGAAAGGGAGATTGGACAGACGGAGGAAAGGGAGATTGGACAGACGGAGGAAAGGGAGATTGGACAGACGGAGGAAAGGGAGATTGGACAGACGGAGGAAAGGGAGATTGGACAGACGGAGGAAAGGGAGATTGGACAGACGGAGGAAAGGGAGATTGGACAGACGGAGGAAGGGGAGATTGAAGAGGGGAAGGAGGGGGAGGAGAGGGAGGTTGGACAGGAGGAGGAAGAAGGGGAGGGTTGTATGGAGGGAAACCGGCACGTGGGGGCAAGTGTGCTTGTGAAAAGGGAGGAAGAGGAGAAAGAAGAGGAGGAAGACGAGGAGGTGGTGGTAGTAGGAGAGTGGTATGAGGAGGTTGAGATGGGTGGGGAAGAGCAGAAGGAGGAAGAGGAGGAGGAGGAGGAGTTGGAAGGGGAGGGAGGCAAAGGGGAGGCGATGAGAAGGGGAGCAGTAAGAAGGGAGGCGGTCGAAGGAGGAGAGGAGGAAGACAAAGAGGAGGCGATGCGAAGAGAGGAGGGAGGGAGAGGAGGTGGAAAAGGAGAGCAGAGCGGCCAGCTGGTGGTGATGAGGGCTGAGGAAGTAAGGAGTGGTCAGCAGAGGGGGCATCAGAGCGGTCAGCTGGTGGTGTGTGTGAAGAAAGAGGAAGAGGAGGAGGTGAAGGAAGGAAGGGGGGGAGAGATGGCACTGGTGGTGGTGCATGAAGCAAAGGAGGAGGACGTGGAGGGAAGGGAGAAAAGGGAGGAAGGTGAGGGAGAGGAGGGCGAGGAGGAAGAGGGGGAATGGAGGGATGTAAAGGAGGAAAGACAGGTGCTAGTTCTGCTGGATGGAGGGACAGGAGGGCTTGAGGAGATACCCCAGGGCACAGAATGGGGAGCAGGGTGGGAAGAAGCACCATTTGCATCGGCATATTCCAACTTGGAGCGATGCTCCCGGTTCACACCGCCGCCAGCAAAGACTCCCAAGGCTTTTGAGTCGACTCAAAACTTTGCAGCGATGCTCCCAAGGCTCCAAATGATTGAGTCGACTCAAAATGTCTTCGAAGACAATTTGGAGCGATGCTCCCGGTTCACACCGCCGCCAGCAAAGGCTCCCAAGGCTTCGAAGGCCTTGAGTGGGATGCAGCGAGCAACACAGATTCGCACTCCATCCCCCACCTTTCATGATGATACCCCACCCTCCACCCTTCATAATACTCCATCCTCCACCCCTAATGGGAATCTCACTCCTTCCCCCACCTCTCATGATGCCCCGCCTTCCGCCCCTGCAGCAAAGCCCTCCCGCTCGTCCGGATACTTTGGAGTGGTTCGGGTCGGTTCCAAGTGGTCCGTGAACCTTTTTCTCAGCCAGGCTCAGCGCACAAAATATGGTATCAGAGCATCGGCTCTCAACTGCGGGTCTTGGGAGGAAGGGGAGCTTTTAGAAGCTGCAGCTGCAGCAGAGGCGGCTTATCTGGTGCTTAAAGGGGAGAGGGGGATTGAGTTTAAGGTGCTGAGGGAAGGGGAGAAGGAGAGGTTGAGGCGGATGGGATGGGAGGAGGCTGTGGGGATGATTCAGGGGAAAATGTGGCGATTGTGGCGGGAGTGGGGTGGGAAGGGGGCGGAAAGGGAGAAAGGGGAGAGGAGGAAGGGGGAAGGGAATGGGAAGGGGGAGGGTGGGGAGGAGGAGTTGGGGGAGAAAAAGGAGGGGGAAAAGAGGAGGGAGAGGCAGCAAGAGATGAGCCATCAGCATGAGAGGCATGCTCTAGAGGAGACGCATGAGAGGCATGCTCTAGAGGAGATGCCTGTGCAGGAGACTGTTTCAGTCACTTCTGAGAATTCTCAAAAGGAGATGCCAAGGGAATTGTCTAGAGGTGTTTACCACGACAAGACTCCGGTAGTTACGAAGAAAAAGCAGGCGAATCCGTCTGGTTACATCGGAGTTACAAAGAACTACAGCGCGTGGGCCGTTCGTGTCCCGTTAAACTCACAGAAGAGCACCTTATATGGGGTATGCAAGAATATTTACTGCGGGCAGTGGGACGATCTAGAAGCGGCGGGATCAGCAGCAGAAGCCGCTTATTTTGTGCTTATAGGGGAGAAAGATATACGAGAGAGGGGGATTAAGCTGCGGCTTTTAACTGAGAGGCAGAAGGAGACACTTAGGCAGATGGACCCGTTTGAAGCTGTGAGGATGATAAAAGAGAAGAAATGGAAGGAGTGGATGAAATGGGTTCCAGAGGGAATGGCGGGTGCTGTTGTAGGGTGCTCGGATAGAGAAGGTGCTGCTGCAGGTAAGAGGCTTGTGGAAAATACTGTCTCTCAGAATGGGGTTGCAGGAGAAACGGAGCCCATTTTCCCTCATAGGCTTGTGCGTGATAAAGAGGCAACTTCTGAGTCTCCTGGAAAGGCATCTCAGCTTGTGGGTCGCAGGGATGTGGATTCGCGAAAGGCGACTTGTGGGCTGCAGAGGCTAAGTGGCGGCCAGGCAACTCCCCTGTTGCACTTGCAGCAGCGGCAGCAGCAGAACCAGCAGCAGCAGCAGCAGCAGCGCCAGCAGGGACAGAGACAAGAGCAAGAGAGGCAGCAGCAAGCCCGGCATGAGGATCAACTACAGCTGGCGCTGATTACTGATCAGCTAGACAGTGCTCCAGCACACCAGAAACAACAACAGCAGCAGCAGCAGCAGCAGCAGCAGCAGCAGCAGCAGCAGCAGCAGCAGCAGCAGCAGCAGCAGCAGCAGCAGCAGCAGCAGCAGCAGCAGCAGCAGCAGCAGCAGCAGCAGCAGCAGCAGCAGCAGCAGCAAGGGCAGCCTTTGCAAGGACCGCTTTCCTTGCCTTGCTCTTCTCGGCCCGGGGATGCCAGTGGGGACAGGACGGACGTTCTGACAGGCCATTACACAATCCGCGAGGTCAGCAAAGTTAGTGACGATGGCACCGGTAATAGCGGCACAACTTGTGGCACAAGTAACGGTGACAGCAACGGTGAGAGCAAGTGGCAGGCTGTGTTGAATTTCAGCGCGCACAAGAGCATGCGCTTTCGCGTCCCGGAGCGGTTTGTTTGCGGGGAATGGGACAGCTTTCGTGAGGCAGCAGCAGCAGCGGAGGCGGCGTGTCTGGCGATCAAAGGAGACAAGAAGATTGCGTTTCAGGTGCTGGGTGAAAGGGAGAGGGAGGGGTTGAGAGGGTTGAGTAGGATTGGTGCGGTGTGGATGATACGGGAGGGGGAGTGGGGGAGGTGGAGGGAGTGGAGGTTGGTGTTGGAGGAATTGATGGGGGGGAATGGGAGAAAGAGGGAGAGGGAACAGGAGGAAAGGGGGATGGAGGTTGGGAGAGGGAAGAGGAGGCATGCGGTAAGTGGAAATGAGACTTTTGCGTGCATGTCATAGAATACGAAGTGTTGAGATAATATCGAGACTTAAGCACTTCAAGGAAATTCGTGTAGTACAGTAAAGTACCGATAGGCTGACGTCAGCAAAGCGCTACGCGCCCTAGGATGACGTCAGCACGTAGCTATAGGCCTCGCGAATAGTCACGTACCGTTTCAGAACAGAAATAGCGAGAATAGCACAGTACAATAGGCGAAAAGGTACTTTACTCTAGCTATATATTATGTATGCTTGTCATTTTATAATATATCTGATTTCAGAGACATTGATCCTGAAACATATCACTACATGGGCTTTCACTAGTCCAGACAAAGCCTCCTTAACTGGCTTTAATTCATACAAGACTTCCGCTACGACAGGAAGTTACCATCCTAAGTAATACGATCCTATTCAGTCATTTCAAATTATAACATGGTATTGCGAGCGTCTTAAGATTCTACAAGCTTCCAACTACATACTCTGCAACTATGTCTGGCTCTCCACGATCCAACAACGATTCTTCTGTTACGAGCCCATCACGCCCAACAGCGTCTCCAGTTGCTGACAATTCTTATCTTCAGCAACAACATCAACAACAACAATATCAGCAGCAACCGATGTACGGCATGCCACTGAGCAATCAGCCCGTACACACAACTGCAGCAGCGGCATCATCGACAGCAGCCGCAGCAACAGCAGCATCAGCAGCCACAACAGCTGCAGCTGCAGTCACTGGTTCTTCTAGTCAACCAGGACAACAGTCCAGTTTCGTACGGACTGGACCTTATCAATATCAAGGTGCTTACCAGCCAACAAATCTTCAACAACGTGTCAATGCTGCCGTCTTGTCACTTAACCAATTTTTTCCAACTCCTATGAGCCTTGATGGCTCCAGTTATCAGCATGGGCAGATGCCACAAGGAAGCGACGGGTCGAATAACTCCTTCTCTTTCGTTCCTGCTGGACAAGGACAACAAGCACCACAAGGGTCACATATGCCATCACTTTATCAGTTACAATCAGCTGACGGCATCGGAAACTATCTTCCCGCTTCTGCAAACCCAACAAAAAATAAAACGACAATACCCTTTAACGGTCAAGACTTCTATACCTGGAGTTTTGAATTCGAGCTTCTTGTTCAGACCGCGGGATTCTGGCAGTTGTTCAACGGCACAGCACCCTTTCCATCACACGGGTCACCACTTCAACAGGCCACTTTTCGATCAGCGTCGCTGACTGCATACACAGTTCTCGTTCGCAATCTGACACCGACTGAACAGCTTGGTATTCGTCCTTTTCGTACCAGTGCCGCTCCTGCTGAAGCAGCTTGGTTATACCTGCAAGGGGTTTACATGGCAAAGGACACCATCAACCAGAGTAAAATTTTAACGCAGCAGTCAAATATACAGATGATAAACGGCGAGAAGGTGACGCAGTATATCAACCGCGCTCGAAATCTGCGCGACCAACTTCAGAAGTGTGGAGGATACTTCCCCGACGCTATGTTTCACACGGTGCTACTCGCGGGTCTTAGACCAGAATGGCGGCAGTGTCGCTCTATTCTTCGGATGCAAGCACAGTTGTCCGAGGGGGCACTCTGTGCCGCTCTCATTGCCGAGCAGCAGGATATGGACCTACACAACGCTCGAGGAGGGAAAAAGGTGGTAAACAACACAGTCAGTTTTTATTCTAATCCACGTCACAAGCCCGTTTGTTCCTTTTGTCGCAAAGCAGGACACACTATTGATACCTGCTGGTCGAAGGATAAATCATCTTGGAAGCGGTCTGCATCGAAACATACCAAAGATTCTTCAGGTGAAGCTGAGAAGCCGGAAGCTGAGAAGCCGGAAGCTGCGAAGCAGAATACTGCGAAGCCGAACTCTGCGAAGCCGCCTACTACACCTGCCAAGACACAAGCAAAAGAGGTTATTAATTGCATGACGTCAGTTTCTACCGTCTACGATCCTGACGCTGAAGAACGTATTCATAATAACTTCAATGATGAACTCAATACGCCCATACCACCCGAGGTCTACGCCAACCTTGCACATACCTTGGAAGGTCCCAACACTTGGTATCTCGACAGTTGTTGCGGCCAGCATATGTGTTTATCAGAAAACCGCTTCGTCATCAATCAACGTCGTCTTCAGAATCCATACGTTGTAACCGTCGCCAACAATCAACGTCTTACAGCACACTGGATGGGTAACATCATTCTTGATTCTGTTGAAGAAGACTTCAGTCTTCATCTTAACGATGTACTCCTCTTTCCTCGACTTGGCTTCAATCTGATGTCATCTGCACAGCTCATGAGGAATGGAATTACTCTTCTTGGTGAACCGGGCAAGTTTACTTTAAAATATGGGGACAGGAAACTCGGCACGGCAATCGAACAGAACGGTGTATTCGTTCTCAACTTCGTACCTGAACGCACCACTGCCGGCTCCGAGAATATTCTCTCTCTTGGCCCATGGGAACATCGTGATGACATCGATTACACCGATGATACCGTTCCTCGTGAAGGATTCGTACCCACGTCTTCAACCACGGCTGCCGCTGTCATGCTGACCTTTGACAATCAAGGCTTGAATGATGTCCAGAACTCTCGAAATTATCTTGCTCAAGTTGGTGGTTGGGGAGATACTACGAATATGCCCACGGATGAAGGCACTTGGGGGGCACAGGAACCTGACGAGACCACTTGGGGAGAAACACCTGCTGATCGTGATCAACGTCTTCTCACTGAAGCAGCACAGCGTGTCGCTGACATGGAAGTCCTTGACTCCGGACGACTTGTCGGCGTTGAGCCTAAACCTGCAGCATCAGATCAAGAGAGCGAGGAGTTAGTTCTTTCACCTGGCGAATACCTCGACGTTGAAATCAAAATTCCACCACCTAACCTTACCAGGTTTATCCCGCCTGTCACAGATCATGTTCACGCTGACGGTCATCGGCTGCTGTTATCTTTCTTCGCTAACGCCGATTATTATCTACGCGCACAAGAACACAAAGCAACTGCAGACACGTGGCATAAGCGTCTTGGTCATCCGTCGCAGTCTACGCTCAACAACACAATCAAAGCAGCTGTTCTCGACAAGAATTCTCTTCTCTTACCTGGCGGCCTCGAAATGAAACCGGTTAACCGTCCGTCACCCTGCTTGATCTGCCCAGCAGCAAATCTACCGCACGAACCGTATCCGACTCATTTTCCCGGCGCTGAGGATTATCGATTGATGGAAAAAGTTTACAGTGATATTCTAAACTTACCTGCGGAAGGTTTCAATGGCGAGAAGTACGTCATCACGTTCACTGAAGCTTCTACTCGATATGTCTGGACTGGTAACATGACTAACCGTTTTCTTGCCTTCACTGCGTTTCAGACATGGCTGCCTCTCGCAGAACGCGAGTCCGACACCAAACTCAAAACCTTCCAGTGTGACGGAGCTGGGGAATATCGCAGTCTCGAGTTTACAGCGTACCTGCAAGAAAGAGGCATACGGCGCCTGTTCTCACTTCCTCACGCTCACCAACAGAGCGGTGTAGCTGAACGCCTCAATCGTACTCTGCAAGAAAAGATGCGAGCACTACTCGCACAATCTCAACTCGGCCCACTCTACTGGCCCTTCGCAATGGACCACGCAACACTCTTGCATTACCTCCTGTCTTCATCGGCTCTACCCAACAACGCATCACCTCACTTGTTGTGGACAGGAAAATTGGGCACTACGAAACTTCTTCGAGTTTTTGGGTGTATCGTGCAATATCGTCCTCCCACCGCTCCGCTCGGAAAGTTCGATCAACGCGCTAAGTGGGGTCTTCATCTCGGCCTTGAGAAGCAGTTTTCTGCCTGGCGTATCCTGGATTATCGCAGTCGTCTTTTAATTCCTGCCCGCGACTGTATTTTCTACGAAAATCTGACCCTTCCTATCTTCGAACAGTATCTCGCCACGCAGCGTGACCCTGCTACACTTTTCCACGGTGTTCGTTCATTCGCCAGCGCTGACGCCGAACTTGCTGCCAGCGAAGAACCTGACATTGACGGTGCACGTGAAGCTGCTCCTGATCCACCTATACCAACCACCTCTTCCGGATTTTCGGAATTCATTCCTCTCGTTGACACTCATCCGGACGATGTTCGTGAAGTTCATCATACTTACCTAGTGGACGATCAACGACGTCCCATGCCAGCTGTAACTGACAGCAGCATCCGCGTCGATCCTAACAAAATTGGGGGGGCAAGTGGTGAACAGAGTGAACCTGTCAATTTCGCAGGACGGACCGAAGACAGTCCTAATTATCAAACTGGGCTTCAGATACTGGGACTCGCAGCAGCAGTACAGCACAATTCTACAGAAGTCGCAGAACCGAAAACTGCCCGACAGGCCCTTTCAGGACCACATCGCGAAAAATGGCGTGAAGCCATGGATCGTGAACTGGCTGCCCTGGAAAAACGGGAGACTTGGGATCTCATACCCATCGAAAAAGCTGCAAATAAAAATATTCTTACTGGAAAATGGGTCTTCAGGGTGAAGACGAAAGCTGATGGCTCTTATGAAAAACATGAGGCAAGGTGGGTTGTTCGCGGTTTTGACCAAACTCATGGGGCAGACTACACGCTAACTTTCGCCCCGGTCAGCCGACACACAAGTGTTCGTCTCGTCATCTGCGAAGCAGCTGTGAAGAATTTTCCGCTTCGACAAATTGACGTTTCCAACGCATTTCTGTACGCTGACGTCGATGCTGAAATCTACGTCGAATATCCACATACCTATCCGACAAATCCGCCAAGTGTCTGCAAGCTCAAGAAGTCACTGTACGGTATCAAACAAGCACCACGACTGTGGCAGCAGCATTTGAACAGGAAACTGATAGAAGTTGGGTTCCGACAACTGCCGCATGATCCCGGAATGTATCGACTAGACGACAAGGAGAGCTACGCGCTACTCGTGGCATACGTGGATGATATTCTCTACGTAAGTTCTTCGGCTTCCTTGGGTGATCGCATCGAAACAGATCTGAAG